CCTGAACAGTTGGTGGCAGTGTTTAACAGTTTGAAACATCACCAAGCTCTATCTCTGAAGAAGAGTAAAGACAAGGAAGTGATGATTTTCTTCATAAACAGAACATATGGCTGTGTCCAAAACGACAGGCCGGGRCCTCCAGAGGACCCAGACTAACCAGTCGAGGTGGGCCGGGTCCTTGGTAGACCGGGAAGACTGGAAAAAAAGAGGCTGTGAATTTGGACGGTCTAGCCTCCCGTCCACCTCGGTGTACGTCATGTCACCTAGCAACTGTGATGACGATAAACAGAAGCAAAATTAGAAAATATCAATGTATTAGCATTAATGTCACAAAACAAAATTTAACTTAAAGGTAACATTTGAAGAACTAARTGACCCGCTGTAGGTTCATGTTTATTTCACGTTTTTATGACAAAAATAATATTTAAAAACACGTCTATACAAATGATAAAAGTATTAGAGTTACAACCTGTCTCCTGGAGGAGTTTCATCGGATCAAGCCACGCAGGTAACCCCTGCTGACTAAGAAACTGAAACTTCACCTCCAAACCAAGAGGGGGAGACCTTGGTCCTCCCCAAGGCCTATCAGGTGTCCTCATAGGTAAACTGGGGGAGGGGCCACAAGATCAATCCCTCCTGAACTCGTCTCTTTTTCTCTTTTATTTTAGCTTGGGACCATTCTTCAGCTTTAATCCAGACATTTCCATCTCTTGTCCAAGTAGCTAAAATATGATTTTTTAGGAACCTCGCCTCTTGAGCAACGTCTGCCTTCTTTTTGTTTAATGTTCACTAACATATTGTTATATCTTGCTTGTGTTAAGAGGTCATCTTTGATCTTCCTGCTGGTGAATCTGATAAAGATCGTTGGTTCGTCTCGTGGTTTTATTGATAAAAGTTAGATRGACACGTTTTTACTGACGTCAGGGTTGGTGTGATAAAACCCAGAGAGCAGTACAGAAATAAACATTACATCATTTGGTTCAAACTTTAGTATGAACTTTCAGATGCTGAACATGAAGAAAATCTTGGGTTTAATTTTTAAACTTGAAAGATTTTTTCATTATTTTTGTACGATCAAATCAACAGAAWTGAATATTTCCAAACATTCTAGAAAAGTCCACATTTTCAACATTAAAACAGCAGTTTTCCTTGGTTATGATGTTCTACAGTTGTTGTGCTTCCTTAAATGTTTTTTATTATATGATGTTATAATGCAACAAGTGGGAAGTTAGGTATCATTTGCATATTCAAAATTATATAAAAAAATCTTTTAAACACAAAATAAAGTGTCAACTTTCTGACAATGTCTGGATTCACATTTTATCTGCACTTGTCACTGAAGTCTTTCTCTAGTTGCCTGATTTGTGTGAAACCCAGCAGCAGCTGCAGACAGGCTGTGAGTAACTCTGACAAACTGATTTGTTAAAAAACGTTTATTTGATTTGTTTGTAGCTGTTTTATAGAGTTATGATTGTGTCATCAGTCAGAACTTTGAAGCCACATGTTGAATAAATGACATCATTTCTCTGCTCTGACAGGTGAAACAAGCTCCTGAAGCTCCGCCCCCATCAGCTGATTCAGACAAACCTTTTCATTCCAACAGAACAAGCAACAACCTGACTGTTTATACATCCAGTGAAAACTATAATACAAACATAATGATGGCTTTAACTTCACCAGAACCATCAGATTCTGTTTAGTAGTGGTGGGATGTTGCTGGTGGTCTACACCTGGATGGTTACAAAGTCCTCTGGGATCCTGGGGTTTGAGGCCTGCCGGACCCTGGCCAGTCTCAGATCTCCCAAACGTCTCTCCAAGCTTCTCTTGCCTGTTCGAACCATGAGAGCAGAGAACGACACTGTGGACCAGGGACGAACCAAACAACTCACACCTGTCTGTTAATCAAAGCCTTTTAAAGATGATGAACGTTTCTACATTCTTCAGTTTGCACCTGAACGAGTCAGAAGGAAGTGAGCAGGCAGTAAGAGTGTCATCATTCTTCGTTTGGAGAAACAGGACATGTTGCTGCTGTCCACAGTCTCCTAACATCTGCTAACAGCTGCAGTAATAAATCTGAGTCTCATTAATGAACCTTTGAGTGTTAAAACATCCCTTCATCTCTGCTGTSTGAAGCTTTAAAGCCTAACTTGTGTTCAGCATGTCTCCTCACACTTGGACAGTGTCAGTGTGAAGCTCTAAACATGTGTGTGTATTAGCAGTGGTACCAACGTTTGTGCAGCTGTGGCAGCAGCTCCTTATAAAGCGGCCGATGCCTGGACAGAACCAGCAGGAAGGACAGGCAGAAGATCAGCTCCACGGCCTCGTACTGAACCACACCAGTCTGGGCTTTGTCACCTAAAGTCAGTCCTGCAGACAGAACAAACTGTCCAATCAAAGGTTTCCCACGAGGCTCGTCACGTCACACGTCTTCTCCTTACCCTTGTTGCTGGACCTGATGAGCTTGTTGGTGTAACTGGCCATGTCCCAGATCATCTGCAGGAAGTAAGCTGGGTTCTTAGAAACCTTCTGACCAAAGGGCAAACACTGGGCACACACATGGAACCTGAGAAGATAAACTAAATCAGTACGAGTGTACGAAATCTCACGATATTAAACTCCTCAAGGTCTCTCCTTGAGAGGTAACTGTTGTCTCGCTAAYCCAACTTTTGGCCACTTTGTCACCAGATCGAGCAACTTTTTACACCCCTCTAGTGACAAGGKTACAGCAGCAACTGTTCCCAGTGTTTTTGGAGACTTCTAGAAACTTTGACAGRCCTTTTCTCATTTCCTCCTCCTTTCCTCCGTGAGCGGTGTGGTAAGCCCCTCCCCCTTTCTACAGCGGTCCGACCATCTAGATGTTCATGAAGGAAAAAAAATAACTATTTGTTTTGTATTTATGTTGAGTTTTTGGAAAGTTCTGTGTGAATGTGGTGTTTTTATGATGTTGGAAGGCCATGCAGTTAAAGCACTGTTCTAAGGAGATTCAAGACATCAGAAAAAGAAAGATTTCAGTTGAGTTTGTAATAAAAATGTTAAAACAGAATAAAAGCCTTTTTGCAGCATAAAATTATTCTTTGAAGTTTTCTTGAAACCAATATTCAAATCTTGTCTCGTCTCAAGAGATTTATGTTTTGTTATACGGCTAATTATCAGATGATTGGATTCAAGAATAAAGAAACTACCTGGTTCTGCTGGAGGTTTCTTCCTGATTAGCAGGGAGTTTTTCCTCTCCACCGTTTGCTCAGGATGGGAG